ATAAACTTGCTTTGCCGAGAGCTGAGAAATCGTGTCAATCTCTGTGGCGTATTCCTCGACCTGAGGATGAGTTCATGGAGAGGAAGTGAAGACGGAGTTGAGGAGAATGCTTTTCAGAGGGAGTTACGATACAAGATTCTTAAAAAACTTACGGCTGTTTCGAATGCATTTTGATCAGAGCTCTTAGTATACAAGTATGACGCTACAGAACAGGCCGAGGCAGCTAGGATTAACACCAAAATGAAGATAGCCCTTGATTTTGTGACCAAACGATTCTCGTTGGCACCAATTTCTGTACTCCTGGAAGAGTCGGAGACTTCAGTCTGAGATTGATACTCCGACATTTCATCACTGCCTTCATCCTCTTCGAGGACTTGCTTCAGAGTGTTGCCGCTCTTGAGAGAAAGTGCTAGAAGATCTCGTGTGGACGACATTCCCTTTCGTCTTTTCCTGCAAAAATGAAAATTGTGGAGTTGCGTTGAATTTCGTTTTTTTTTTCAGCTTTGGTATACTCGTAGTGGGTTTGTTCAGCCCTCCTGACGTTTTTACATACGATGCATTTCGTTTGCGGATACCGGTACATCGCAAACTTCTTGGGAAAACCGGGTGTCCTGACAATTTCTGGGAACGAGATAAATCAAAACACACCCAAAGAAAAAAAGCCGGCGTATTCATTGGCGTGGTGAGCAAACTTCCGAACCCACTTGAGCGTTTATGATTTCGCTTCCTAAATCTGAAACGAACCATGACAAAATAATTCTGAAAGTGTGTATTAGGTGTTATGTGCCGCATGACCTTTTTGAACTTTTTATATTCTTGGCTCTTTTCGCATACTCAACGGAGAGTTCCGGATCTCAGATAGTGGGTACCGGTATCAGGTACGATGCTTTCCAGTAATATAGGCAGTAAGAATTTGGTCACGTGTTCCTGCTCAGAGCTCTGCCCCCCCTTTTCGCAAAGGAGCTTGTGTGTGTTCGACATATATCTATTCGTTGAATGTATTTATGGTAATGACCTATTACACATATATATATAATAATTTTAGTGAGGGGCCTTTTCAGCGGTTGTGTGACTTCGATTCGGTGTGCACCCGGTACAGTAAGGGTACCCTTAAAAGAGAAACCCCCTTAAAAGACAAATTTACGGTCCGTCTGTCACCCGTACCATTTCATGTCCATATGTCTGTCCTTCGTCTGCAAACCAGCCTTTCTGGGGGAGATGCAGCAGAAGGATTTGTTACAGCAGAGTGGCGAGAAAGATATCACAGTTGGCTATTCTTGCTCCAACAGGTGGTTCCCCTAATGATCCAGATGATTCGGACGCTGAGGAAGAGGTGATGTGTCGTCCTTTGGAACTAGATGCTTCAATGCTACCAGCAGGCTCAAAAAACTGCAAGGGGGCTCTGCCCCCCCAGCAAGGCTCCAGACCCCCAATACACTGGGGGCGTAGCCCCCAGACCCCCCTTTAATAAGAGGGGAACCGACTCACTGTACCTGGTACCGGTACGTGGATTAGTGAACGGAACCAGTCCAACGAGAAACCTTGTCAGCGGGCATCACTTTCCATCTTCAAGTTGACTCCCAACATTCAACAATCATGGATCGTCTGCTATCAGTTGACAGCACAGTGTGAGAAGCATTGCTGTCATTCCGCAAGGCTCGCTCCTTTTTGCGTTCGCCCTGAACAGCAAGACTAGGACGAGCGCTCACTCTCCCTGTGGTCATCTGACGATCAGCCGCCACCTTTGACTTCGCAAGTGATTCGAAGTTGAATACAACCTTCACAAGTTCGGGAAAGAGTGCTACCAAGCCGGAAGGTATACCGATTTCGATCCAACCCTGGATTGGCAGTGTTGAATGATCAGTCATGTCAATGGGGCTTTCCCATGTCCATCTTGCTGAATATAAGTGGACCGGGAAGTACGAGAAATTTTCCGTTCTCATTCTGTATAAAACTTGGCCGCGAAGTTTGCCACATGCCGGCCGCACCAAGTCCTAATGTCCTGCCACACGATTTTGCTATTCTTTGACCAATGAGTGTAGCTAATCCTGTTTTGAACTTGCCCCTGCTTCGCGTGACGTAATATTTCATTGTCATGATACTTCAACATAGCCTGCGAAGCCTATCCTTGCACATAAATCTCCACCGCCGCACTCGTCCGGATGATCTATTTGGTGTAAAGAAATGCAATTTATGAAAGTTATAGCGGGCGCCGTTCGGTATCAATCGATTATCGATGGTACCAATGGCGTTGTGCCTCTGTTCGCATCGGGGGAAATAAGAGGGAAACCACTTGAATGAATGAATGAATCACTCGGAATTGCAGGGCAAATGGCAGTGATTTCTTTTCATCGGTGTCATCCGGGTGTCTTATCGCAATGAGATGATTGTAGTACAGCACTGGCACCTACATTACCACGCTATAGCTTCGTTGCTTATAAATCAAAGAACATCTAAACGCATTGCCTATCATCATACGTCAATTAGTTCAGGAAAGTCAAGAATCATATCGTTCTTGGACATGACTTCGTCCTTCTCTCCAGGCGTCCAGAGCACTTCCACTGCATTCACACAGTAGCCGTCATCAACAAGGACATCACTGGCGATGCTTGCGAGAACCTCTTTTGTTTGAGCTATTGAGTATCCAGCACCATCGAATCTGAGTGGATAACAGAACGAATAATCGATGAGCTTGCTACAATTCATTGGGTAACACGGAAGACATAAGTACTCACTTGGTCGAATCACCTTGGATTTCAATAATCATACTAACAACAACAATGGTGGAGGATCCTTGGCTTTCATCATCAATGTCATCAGGGATGTATTCCTGCGTGAGCATGCGACAAGATTAAGATTCACGAAATCATAATCTCGAACTCAATTGCGCGGCATTGTTCTACTCTACCTTTTCAAACTTCATGGCTTCGGTGTTTGTGAGCTCGTTGTAGTAGCTCTCTGCCTTGCCTGCGTCGTCGCCCTTGAACCATTTGCCTGTACTGCATGCGGCGACCCATGAGTCAGATTTTCGCATCAACGCCAAACAAACGTCGTTCGCCATTCGGGAGAGCTCCTCGGGTTCATTACCTGTGTCTGTTGCACAGTCTTCTAAGAGACCAAATATGGAAGAGTCGGATCTATCAGGGCTCATAAGGGCGACTTGAACCTTGCCGACGGTGATGCCTTTCCCAAGCATTCCTTCTTCCTCAAACAGCTTGTCAAAAATATGGAGGAGAAAATTATTCGATGATGTCCGCTTCACGTCAGGCACGACGAATCCTGAGGCTGAAAATAGTATCAGTGCAGAGATGAGGCACTTGAACATCTTTGTTGTGTTTGAGGTAGTTAGGTCGATATTTTGAAATAATTCGTTGGCGCACTCCAACAAAACATTTGCAGATTTTGTGACGGAAAACAGTGACGTCAGTTCAATGATCAGAGAGGGGATCACAATATCCCCCTTTTACTTTCTTTAATCTCCTCCACGTGGAGGTCTTCACTTTGTAACAATTAAAACTTTCATCAGTGGATTAGGAGAGGTACTGTACATGATAGCGTCTATAATACATTATTCTATTGCGCCATAGCAGATCTCTTCATCCTCTTGAAGGCTGGTGACCTCCAACCAAAGGCCATCTTCGGTTTTCCATTCAACTTCTTTGGGGTAACAAGAGACGATGTACTAAAACCAATAGTCGTACGTCTCTTTGTTTTGTTTTCAGAAGCAAGAGGCGAGATAAATTCAAAATTTTGCCTGCCCTTCGCATTCTTCTCAGGAGTAGCACGAGAGGATATTCGCTCGCTCTCGAATTCAGATGATCTTACGCCCTTGCTTTCCAGAGATTCATTTTGTTCTGTTTGTTCTGTTCTATCTGAAGCGTCCAAAGCCTGGGAGATTCTCTTGGCGATGTGGCTTTGCACTCCTTCATTGTAAGATATTCGAGATGCTTTTGAACCGATTTGCAAGGATCTTGTGCTCACGATGAGTGTTTCGTCCTCCTTGTCATCTCCATCTTCGACCTCATCGTAATCATCATCATCTTCGACCTCATCATCAGCATCATCGTCGTCATCATCGTCATCATCGAATTCTACCGATGACAGTGCGTGCTCTTCGAAGAACGAAATTAGATTTGAAAAAAGTTTCAAACATATTTGAATGACGACTGGTCTTGATAGGCATTCAAAGAGTGCTGCGGAGAAGTGTCTTTCCATCATTTCAAAGTGATGTTCATTCAAACCAAGTGCAAACATCGGGCTGTACTTGGATGTCACTCTCCGTTCTATGGATTCGACATTGTTTTCAGCACTGGGCTGCAGTAGCACCATGAGTATCAAATCCTTTTGAAGGTGTGTCATATTGTGCAAGTTATAACTTTCAAAGAATCGATGCAATTTGATATCGCCCTTGAGCCTTTCACAGTAAGAGACAACAAGGAGGTCAAAAGTTGCCTCTCCTCCCATGCGTTCAACAATGTTCGATCGGTACTTCGACACCGTAGTGCATTCCTTGAACACTGGCCGAAGCTCAGCAAAGTATGCTTTGCAGAGTTCATAGTCAAGACCTGTGACGAAGCAATCATCCAAAGCAGCAACAAAATGCTCTTCCAAAATTGGAAAGATACTTCTATCAAGTCCCATCATGTCGTTTCGGAACGAGACCCTCTTTTTCCTTGGTTCAGTCTCTTGGTATGGCTCGAGAAATGTTATGAGGAGGAGTTCCTTCTGTAAACATGTGAGCGTATTCAAATCAAAATTGCCATAAAAGTGATCAAGACTCTCGTCATCAAGGATGTTTTCGCAGTAGGTGACGACAAGAAAGTCGAAACCGAACTCCCCACCCATACGTTGAACAATGTTGTTCCTGTACAATACTTTCATTTCTTTTATTGTGTATGTGGTTCAGTCTGAAATTTTGAACGGAAATAAAAACTGATAGGAATATTTAGTCTGTATGAAGAGCGAAATGTGAAGGATCGGGTTCAAGGAACTTCAAATGGGATCGTGAAGAAAGTGTGAGAGAGCGTTCGATGTTCAAGATGTCAAGCACCACATAATGGAAAGAATCATGGCGTCAGCTACAATTAAGTGAAGGAGTGTTTAAAACCTTAACCATCTGTCGAATGCAAAAACATGGTAACCCTGGATCCAAACAATTAGGGCACATCATGATGTTTGTGATAATTCCACTTCTCGAAGTGTAAATTCTCTTCTTGCGTGTCAAAACATTTATTTGGTTGCTTCACACGCGACACGAATTGACATTTTGTGACACCAAAGATTAAAAATCGCGTCGTTTCGTCTTTTTTGGTGCGGGGACATCGCAGTCTCCCGGTACCAGGTACCGGTACCAGGGTACCCGGTACCAGGGCACCGGGTATTGTGCCGTTAGATGTGATAACACCCGGCTGTTCCATACTAAGAACAATTGGCACCACCTGGTACCACAACAATGGTACCGGTACATCTGCCAATGCGAGTTGTTGCAAGACAATTTTTGATTTTTCAATATTTTTTATATCGTGGACTTATGTTTGAATTGGACTCCATCAGTATCTTCCTCTCATTCTATTGTTTTGTTTTTAAAAATTTAGTGTAGGTACTATTTAGTAAAAATTGTGTGAAAGCTCATCCAGTGATATATGAATTTGAGGCTATCGCTTGTTGTGTACAGCAGTCTTCTTGTTGCTGCTTCGGAACGCGGGCTTCTTCCACGAGAACATCATCTTTGGCTTTCCCTTGGACCGCTTCGATAGGACGATTGGCGATATCCGGGTGCCTGCTTTACCGTCTTCCGAAGCTACTGAAGAAACTGTGGCTTCCGTCCTCTGGGAGTCTTTCAAGGGGTCGAAGAATCGATCAGATCCGTATTCGATTCGTTTTGGAAGACAGCTTGCGCATTCATTCTTTTCGTGTGGCATGGAATGTACTGAATTTGAGCCCGAAGATCTATCACTCTTTTCCAGAGCCTCTTGAATACGCCTGGACACGTAGCTCGTATTGCCTTGTGTTTGCCTGTTTTCAAACGAACTGATTGTTCTAGTAGTTTCAACGGAGCGTATTGAAATAGAGCAAGTGGATCTTTCCGACTGGCTCAGAGCATCCTGAATGCGCTTTGTAACATAGCTCGGGGCTCGTTCTCGAGGGAATGGAGGCATCGGAGATAGGACTGAATCAGCTTCTGAGTGGCCACTCTCGGACATCATGTCGTATTCTTCATCTTCATCAAACTCGGTCACGGATTCTTCATCAAACCCGGTAATAGACCCTTCGTCCTCTTCCACGTCGTTGGTCACCGAGAGCGAGTTGTCTTGGAAGAACGTCATGAGGTTGGCAAACAGTCTCAGACAGGATTGAATCACATCTTCTCGAGACAGGCAGTCATAAAGTGAAGCGGAAAAGTGGCTTTCCATCATTTCAAAGTGCTCTTCATTCATGCCAAGTGCAAATAGAGCACTGAATTTGGATGACACTCTTCGTGTTAAGGTCTTGAAATCATTGTCTGAGGTGGGCTGAAGGAATGCCATTAGTAGCAGCTCCTTTTGGAGCCGTGTCATACTTTTCGAGTCCAAGTCCTTGAAGTAGTGGTGTAATCTGTGGTCTTCTTCTAATCGTTCGCAGTAGGAAACGAGAAAGAACTCAAAGGTTGCTTCTCCTCCCATTCGTTCAACAATGTTCTCACGGTATTTTGAGACATTAGCACATTCCTTGAACAGTGCCCGAAGCTCTGAGAAATATGCTTTCGAGAGTTCAAAATCAAGACCTGCGATGAAGCAGTCTTCCAGGGCATCAACGAAATGTTCTTCCAAGACAGGAAATATACTTCTGTCCATTCCCATCATGTCATTTCGGAACACGAGTCGCTTCTTTCTTGGTTCGGTCTCTTCATTAGGCTCTAGGAATGCTACGAGAATGAGTTCCTTCTGCAAGCATGTGAGAGTATTCAAATCAAAGTTGCCAAAGAATCGATCGAGCCTTGCGTCGTCGTGAATGTTCTCGCTGTAGGTGCTGACAAGAAAGTCGAAACCAGCGTCCCCACCCATGCGCTTGATGATATTGTTCCGATACACTGCTTTCATGTTGGGACTTGATGAAAAACAAAATTATGTGTTACTGCACATCGTATCAAAAGGCAATGTACTTGTACTGTACCAGGTACACGTACTTTGCCACGTTGTTTTCTACGCAGCTTCGCGCTCCATGCTCACAGGATTTATCAGAATGTTATTTGGATTCCCGAAGAAGACATCACGATAGGATCCATAAAATCCAATGACTTCGGATTTATCGAAGTGACATGTTTGGCATATAAGTAGTCATGATTCGCCAAGAAACTGGCGACACAAGCTTTCCATTAGTTTTTCTGACCATTAAATAGAATCTCAAACCACCAAGACCAAATTCAAAATGACCAATTCGAAGTGTTACTGGAGTTCTCCAATTTCCCACTCTGCAGTCATCGTCTATGATTCGTCCGTGTCTCTCGTACACGTACGTGAACGAGCTTAGGAAACAGTGCCCGGTATACCAGGTACCACTCTATAGTCATCGTCTGTTATTCGTCCTCTACCGTCTGTCAATCGCACGTAAACGAGCGGAGGATAGATTCATTCGCTCGTTTACTGATATGTGCGACCTACAGACGGTGTGTGTCGACTGCAAGACGATGGCTGTGGAGTGACCAGGTACGGTACGTAACGTGTACCGGTACACCAGGTATGTACACGTGTACCTGGTTCGTCGTACAGGTTCTGAAAATCAAAGAACCCGGCGCTTGAACGACATGTCCTGGGACAAGATTCAAATGTTTCGTGCAACGTTCTTGAAATTTGAATACGCAAGCGAAATCAACGACCACTCCGAGACCGGAGATCGGCATCTTTTTCGTCCCAAGCACATCAAGCAAACCATCGAAAGGCTATGGTATCTCCCATGATACGCCGTACTGCTCCTTCTGGAGAGAAGCTGTACATGGCGGATCAACAAGTGCCGCCTCCAACCCCAATAAGCCGTCTTAGTCTCATTGGTGACGAAAATATTCATGCCTCTCCGATGGGTATGACAATTATCTCGCCAGATGAATTAAGTGCATCTGTATCTCACTTGGAAACACCAAGCGCTTCTCGCGAGGTCGGCACTGAGATTGAGAACAGAGTAGGGTCTTTGAGCAGCCGCAGAGGTCGTCGGGGGAATCGATCTTTGTCACTTCAGCACACTCCACTACCACCATCATCTGCTCTTGTGATTCCTGGGTCTCATTCCAAGCAACAAGCCAACAGCGTCAGTAGCAAGAAAAGCCGTTCTCGACGTTCCATGTCACGAGTCATGGGTGAAAATGCGGATCCAACTGAGAGGGAAGTCAAGGCACTACATGCTAGGTTTAATGCAATTCAATCGGGGTTGGGTTCCATTGATCATGAACGTGTGCAGCTCGTCGAGAAATCCAAAGAATTAGAAGAAGAAAAGCTTGCTTTAGAGGAGCAACTTGAGTTGAGAGATAACGAAATTCATGCTCTTGTGAAAAGATGTGCCAATCAAGAAGAGAAAATTAGGGAATACAGCAAATTGCGCTCACAGAATCGGGAACTGGCAACAGACTTGCAGGGCATGGTGCAGAAGTTGGAGACTATGAAATCGTCTTCCACTGATTTGCATCAACTCAAACGGCAGCTTAGAGAGTCCGAACATGAACGTGAAGAGTTGCAAAAAAGGCTTGAATGGGTTGAAAAGGAACACGATGCCATTGCTGGAACCTTATCAGAGTGCTTGGAGAATATTCGCAAACTGACAACTGAAAAGAAACAATTGGAAGAAGACCGCATTCGAGAAAGACAACGATCTGACATGGAAATGGAAAAGCAACGCTTGAACATGGTCCAGCTTTCCAATGATTTGCAGTCCGATTTGCAGCAGAAACAGCAGCAAATTGACGAAATGGAAATAATCATTCAGCAGCAAAGTTTGAAAAGAGAGACTTCATCGACCATGTCGTCTACGAGGGAAGGTAGTGCTGAAGATGCCCAACTATTAGTTACGCGTTATGACGATCACTTCGACGGAGGGTCTTATGACAGTGACATTTTAGATGCTCGACTGAAGAAAACCGTGCGACGATATGAAAAACAAATTGCAGAGATGAAAGAACAAGTTGAGAGTCACATACAAGTGATAATGGAGGAAGAGGAACAAAAGCGACTAGAAGCAGCAACCGCGTATGAACGCCGAATCGAATCGATGCATCAGGAGATTTTGGAAAGTGAATCAAAGGAAGATAGACTTTTCGAATTGCAGAGCAAGTTGGCGAAGCAAGATGTTGAAATAAAACGAGAGAAAGAGTCCACTCATCAAGTCCGAGAAGCCGCTGAAAGGTATGAGAAAACTATTTCTGACTTGAAAGTCATGCTGGAAGAAAAGGATCAGGAGGTTAAGGAGAAGAATGAAGCGAACAAAGAATTGGAGACTCAGATCGCCCGCCATGAGATGGATTTGCAATCTCAAGTCAAGACAACGAAGAAAAGCTATGAAGAGAAGGTTGCAGAGCTAGGGAAGCTACTACGGGAGCAAAAGATAGAGCTACAATCCAGCGAAGAATCTCGCGCAAGGTTACAAGCTTCGCAGAGCGAGAAAGAAGCGCTTGCATCCTCGTATGATATCCGAGTAACCCAGTTGCAGACTCAAATTTCTCAGCAAGAGATTGATCTGCAAACGAAAGCCAGTTTATTGGCAAGACACGAAAGCAAGATCATTTCGTTGGAAAGTCAAGCGAAGGAGCAACTTAAGCTTAAAGACCTCGTGGCGGAACACGAGACGAAGGCAACGCAATTGCAAAATCAGATCAAGCAACACGAAACTGAAGCGCAATTTGCAAAGTCGGAGTATGAAGGCAAAATTGCTTTCTTGGAAAGAGAGCTTACCGAAAAGAATAATACACGAATGGCTGTTGAATCAGAAAATAGAGCCTTGATAGACGCAAAGAATGATTTGGAAGCCAGGATGAAAGGGGAGCACGTTAAGCTAAAAGACCTTATGGCAGAACACGGAACGAAAACAACGCTGCTGCAAACCCAGATTAAGCAACAAGAGACTGAATTGCAATTTGCAAAGACGGAGTATGAAAGCAGAATTTCTGGGTTGGAAAAAGAGCTCACCGAAAAGATGCATGTGCGTTTGGCTCTTGAATCGGTCAACCGATCTTTGTTGGGCGCAAAGAATGATCTTGAGGTTAGGATCAGCGAGCTTGTGTCCAGTCACGAGAGAAACGTTCGTGATCTTCAGGACAAGGTCAATAAGAAGGAAACAGAACTGGTACATGTCAAGGATGAAGCCAGCAAACTACGTGAGGAGTTGAAGGTATACACCAAAAAGTTGGCAGAACAAGGCGAAATTCTGACTTCAGGAAAGGAAATGAATACGAAATTGAAAGAGATGAAGAAGGAATGCGAAGACATGATGAGCCAGTTGAGGGCTACAATAGCAAGTTTGCAGTCACGCATCGAACAACAACGCACTGATGTCGAGTCAAAGGACCAAGTTATCGCCCAACATGAAAATACGATGACCGAGCTGCAAGACCAGCTGAAGACGAGTGAAAATACCATTAAAAAGCTGGAAACACAGTTTGAAGAACAAGAAAATGCAATTGCTGAGAAAACAAAAGAAGTCACAACGAATAATAGCAAGGTGGCCGATTTGAAGGACCAGCTTGGCGAACGAATGAGAGAGACTGCCAAAACTAAGAAGGAGATGAAACAAATTCTAACGGAGCACAGTGAAACAATGGTGGGTGTGGCATTAAAGACTGACAAGCTCAGAAATAAGCTGATTGAGATGAAAGAGAAACTTGATGAAAGGGACGAGCTGATTTCCAACTTGGAAAATGAATTTGGTGAACAAATGCAGGAGCTGATGAACAAGCAGGTTATTCTCGATAGAGTGGAGGACCAAAAGCAATTACTTGAAGCCCAGGTTGAATCACTTCAGCACTTTGAAGATGAACATGCGGCGATGGTTCATTATATTGAAATCATGGAATCGAACTGTGCTGAACTCACCGCAGAAAATGGTATTCTGAATGTTGAAAAAGACAGCTTGGTTGAGGATAAACTTCAGCTCCAAGAGAAACTTGAAGGATTCGAAGGCCGAGTTGCTACGTTGCGGGACAAGCATATCGCTCGTGAAGAAGAAGTAAAAGCAGATCTTGAGCAGGAAACGGCGAAACTAAGAGAAGAGTTGGACAAAATGAACCAGCAACTGGTTTCTAAAACCGACGAAGTCAATAAAGTGCGAATGGAAGCAAAGGCTACCTTGGAGAACATGCAAGTTTCGCTTGCGAAGGCTAGAGATGAAATTGTTGAATTGGAGGACCAGCTGGGTTGGGAGAAGACCTTGCAAACACAACCAACTGATGCGTCGGAAGAAATTGATTCTCTTACTCAAGAATTGGAGGCTGAGACAAGACGACGTGAAGCCCTCCAAGAGAAATTCGATTCATCGCAGGTGAGCGCCGAAAGTATGAGAATTGAATTATTAGAAGCGGAGAGAGAACAAGCCAACTTACGAGAAGAGTTGGAAGCGTCTCAGGAAGACATTGCAATGCTGGGGAAGGAAAGAGTCGCCTTACTAGAAGGATTGGAAGCCACTAAAGAAGAGATTGTACTACAAGAGAAGGAGCGAATCGCCTTACTGGAAGAATTGGAAGCAGCTAAAGAAGACATTGCGCTACAGGAGAAGGAGCGAATTGCCATACTGGAAGAATTGGAAGCAGCTAAAGAAGACATTGCGCTACAGGAGAAGGAGCGAATCGTCTTACTGGAAGAATTGGAAGCAGCTAAAGAAGACATTGCGCAACAGGAGAAGGAGCGAGTCGCCTTACTGGAAGAATTGGAAGCAGTTAAAGAAGACATTGCGCAACAGGAGAAGGAGCGAGTCGCCTTACTGGAAGAATTGGAAGCAGTTAAAGAAGACATTGCGCTGCAGGAGAAGGAGCGAGTCGCGTTACTAGAAGTTTTGGAAGCAGCTAAAGAAGACATTGCGCAACAAGAGCAGGAGCGAGTCGCCATAATAGAAGAATTGGAAGCTGCTAAAGAAGACATTGCGCAACAAGAGCAGGAGCGAGTCGCCATAATAGAAGAATTGGAAGCTGCTAAAGAAGACATTGCGCTACAGGGGCACGAACTCGAGCGAAGAGACAAGCGCATCAGCAACTTGGTTTCTGAGATCGATGCTCTCAGTCGAAATGATCACAAAGAAGCCTTCATAGAAGCGGAAAGTCAAAAGCTGGAACTTGAGGGGCAACTCGCAGATATGAGGAGACAAGAAGCAGAGCTCGAACAAGCTCTAAACGGCAAGGAAAAAGAGATCGAAAAGATGAAGGCGTACTGCTCTGAACTCGAAGAGAAGACCGAGTCCATGGAGACTCAACTACTTTCAACAGAAGATGACTTGATTGAAAAGCTTGATGTCGCCGTCAACAATTTTGCTGAGAAAGAAGCTGCACTTTCTGCGATGAGAGAGTCTCTAGCCGCAAGAAATGCGCAAATTGAATCACTTGAATCCGACGTGAAGATAGAAAAGGACAAAGAAGTGGAACTACTTGGCAGACTATCCGAGGCCGAGTCAAAGATTGCAAGTTACGAATCGGAACTAGGACATCGAACTGAAAAGATTGCTACTCTCCAAAAGCAGATTCATGGAGCCAGTGAATCGACACGACGGCGAATATCTGACTTCGAAACGAAAATCCATCAAATGAAGACCGACCTTGCGTTAAAGGACGACGAAATCAGGGATCTTCGTATGGTTGATCTCAAGGATGCAGAGGAAGAAATTTCAGAACTGAAAGCATCGCTCAAATCAAAGCGGGTACTGGAGCAAGAACTACGATCCAAAAGATCTTCGGCAATAGAACTGCAAAAGACCGTGAACGACTTGAAAATGAACCAAACGCGGTTGCTAACACAGGAACGAGATCTGATGGCTGAGTGCGATAGGCTTTTCAAATCGGAGAGAGAAGCAAAGGAAATGGTGGCAAAGATGGAATCTGAACTTCAATCAATGGTCCAGCAGCGCAAGAATTACGAAGCTGAAATGAGAAGCAAAAAGCTATCTCAAGAATGCGAGCTTAGGAAACTTGAAAACGAAGCAAGCGAAAGGGACGAAAAGCTCAGCGAAGTTGTTATTATCAATGAGGGTTTAGAGACGAAATTGAATATGAGAGAACGAGAGCTGGAGGAAGAGCGACAGGAATTGGATTCCAAACGTGGGGAGATTACGAAACTTCGTCGTGAATTTTTTGAGAAGGAAAATGGTTTGAAGCAGCAACTGAACGAAGAACGGAGGACCCTCGAGGTTGCTGAGCAGACTTTGGAGAGCATGAAGAGACAACAGAGCGAAGCTATAAAGTACAGGAAACAAGCGTCACAGAAAGAAAAAGAAATCGAAGGATTGAAAGATAAGGTGAAGCGTCAAGAGGCTTATATGCAAAAGAGGATGCAAAGAGAGAAGATGCCGAGCCGAGTAGTAGTAGTGGCAGACTCAACTCCTGTGCCAACTCCAGCTCCCAAAAACAGTAGGACTGCGCAGTCCTTGGCTGCATCACATTTGGCAAGAAGAAGACATAGTGGGATCCCTTCCAAGCCGACAACCACAGGAGGTGCAACGTCTACCCCTTCGACAAGTCGAAAAGCGCGGGCAAGTTTGCTGCCGATTGTAGGATTCAAGAGTCCTGGTTTTAGGGACGACCTTGATTAGGCTTCCATTTCTGAACGCAACAAATTCACTTCCCAATGCCAGTTCTACTGAACACGGGTTAACTTCACGTCCAACAGAAAGCTTTCGCCTGGAATATCATCTTTGATCATATTCATTACACGCTGGATTCTTTGCCTCGGTCCAAAGTCTGGCGGGATCGGGCCTGGACTATTATCACGCAAACCCTCGACATATGCCAACGATGGGGGAATGACAATGCGACGAATACCACCCACGCGCAACCCTCGAATACCCTCGTCCAAACCTGTGGCATAACCTACGTTGTGAGGCTAGTTTGGAAATTAGTAATAGTGTCGCAAGTACATGTACTTACCGGCAATGGCCCTTGTTCCGTCCTTTGCTCCAATGACAAATATAAATGGCACACTGTTATTGTTTGTGGAGGAGTCAACCGAGTAGCCATTGGACCTTTTCAGGCTCCATTGAATGTTCACACGCTTGCCTTCGGCTGCTGCTTCACCATCTCCTGGACGGAAGTCCTGGATGGAAACTCCACTTGGAAAGCGGATTACACTAGAGTCTGCGACAGGAGCATTTTCATACATCGCTGTGGCTTTGCTAGTGCTGAAGAATGCGCTTCCGGTGCAGAGAACCACTAAGGCCCCAACGTTGCGAATGGCTGCCCGTCTAATCAGAAACAAATCATGGCCATAGTACAAAGTTAGCAAGACAATGAATCTGAAAACTGCCATAACTAAAGCTCGCCACATTACCTGGAACTACTTTCTACCATCAGATTTGAAGCCCATTCTTGCAATCCAGCGAATGGATCGAATCCTTTCGCTTTTGCCTGAGATAATCCAGCTTCGTCCAACACTGAAGGCAACCAAGAATCAATAATCGCTTCGCTTCCATACCACCGATCGGTAGGGATTGTGGTACCAGCTTCATTGATACTGTGCAACACTCCATCGAGCTTTATCTTTCGAGAACCATCCAGCTGTGACCAATCAAATGGCACAACTCCGTCCCCAATAACATTACCTTTACCGCAAACTGCTTCGTAAGAGTTAAACGCGACTCTTGACGCCGAGCCCTCTCCTCGGTTGGAATACAGCTCATCAGCATCCGTTTTGGATTCTTGGTCCTTGGTGTTGTCTCCCACAATAGCTGCTCCACCAATGGAAACATACCCAATACCACTATCTTTGAGGAACGCTCCTGGGTACATGGCGTTGGTATTCTTCAATGCACCTCGGGTAACGCAACTGGCAGCATCGATGGGTTCCTTGTGAATGGCTCCCATGGTGACCAAACACCGGACGCGGTCACACGTTTGGATGCCATTTTCCTCACACCAAATTCCATCCGCCATGGCTGCCCGTGCCAACCACCCACCCGCGCTATGGCCCAATAGCAATACCTTTTCTCCCCCACTCTGTTCGTGAGCCAAGTCGACAGTTGCCTTGAGCCGTTGAATGTACCAGCCATATCCCCTGCCTGTGGCCTTGGCATTACCAACGTAGAAATCCGGGATGTCCAAGAGACCTCCAGCGACTTTGATCCAATCGCCTCGTTGGACTGGAACCGTGTAAATTAAATCTTCCTGGAATCCTCTCCTGGCAAGAACGGATTTGAGGCCAACCTCTTTGGGTTGCTTCAATGGTTCATCGTAATCAATTTGGTCGTTACCGAACCCAGGGCAGATAACCAC